ATTCCTCTCGATATCTACACTCATATCTATATTATACTATATGCTATACATCTCTATATTATATATATTCATACCTAATATATATATATCTATCTATCTAACATCTATCTATATTCTATATATCTATATCCATCTATTATCTTATTATATATATATACATCTATCTAATCTATATCTACTATATATATATATATTAATATATCTATATATTATATCTATCTCTATTCCCTCTATCTAATAATTCATATAATATATATATATATATCTATATAGATATACATCACTACTCATATATCGACTCTATCTAGATATCTTATAGCTCTCCTATCTCGTATATGTCTCTAATATAATATCTCTATATCTATCTCTAGATATCATCTATATCTAGATATATTCTCTCTCATCATAATCTCTCTCTATCTCTCTAATATATACTATCACTATATCCTTATAGATCTATCTATCTCTCATTTCTCTCTCTCTCTCCTAGATATACTATATATAGTATATCATATATATATATATATATATATATTCTATCATATATATCTATATATCTTATATCACTATCTCTATATCATATAGATATATATCATTATCCATATATCTAATAATATATCTATATTTAAATATATTATATATACTATATATATCTTCTATACTATATATCTATAATATCTCTATATCTCTCTATATCTCTAATCTATATATATATCTCTATCTACTACCTCTTCTATCATATATTATCTTCACCTAATCAATATATATAATATCAATAATCTATCTCTATATATATCTATATCTATATATCTCTATTATCATATCTTATATATACTATTAGCTCTACTCTCTATATCATTCATCATTATATCTCTCTCGATCTCAGTTCTCTATCTCCTCCTAATCCATATATATTATCTTCTATCTATCTTTATATATCATCTACCCTCTATGCCTCTCTCTCTATATTCTCTCTCTATTCTTACTCTCTTCCTCATCTCTCTCTTCTATATCGATCCTTCTCTTCTCTCTCTCTCTCTCCTACTCTCTCGCTCTATCTAATCTAGCCCTCTTATTCTCTCTCTCTCTCCCTATCTCACTCTCTCTCCCTCTCTCTCTCTCTCTCTCCCTCTCTCTCTCATCTTCTCTCCATCCCTCCTCCTCTACATACTCGATCTCTCCATACACTCTCTCCTACCTCCTCTCCTATATCCCATACTCTCCTCGATCTATCCCTCTCTCTTCTCGCTCTCTCCCTCTTCATATATCCTCCCTATCTCTCTATACCTCTATCTCTTCGATCTCCATCTCCTCTCTCTCTCTCGCCTCTATCTCCTTTCTATCTCTCCTTCTGTATCTCTCTACTCATCTCTCCTCTATCTGTCTCTCTATCCTCTTTCTCCTACTATCCTCTGTCTCTGTGGGTCTCATCTCCTCGATCTTATCTATTTGACATCTCTCTCTCTAATATATCTCCCTCTCTCTTCTACTCTATATACAACAAAAAAAAAAAAAAAAAAAAACAAAAAACAACAAAATCTCTATCTCCCCTCTTCCTCTCTCTATTATATCTCTACTCTCTATCTCTATCTCTCTATCCATTCTCTTTCTCTCTCTATCTCTCTCTTAAATCTCCTCTCTCCTCATAATCTCCCTCTACTCTATGTATATATCTCTACTGTCTCTCTCTCTAATCTGTTATCTCTACTCTCTCTGTCTCTCGCGCTCTCCTGATCTCTCTCTCTGTCTATCTGTTCTCGCTCGTACGCCTAGGAGTTGATCTCTCCCGGGGAGATTCTCTCTGTCTCTGTCTCTCTGGTCTCTGTCTCTCTGGCTCCTTCTCTATTGTCTCTGTCCTCTCTGTCTCTTTCTCGTCTCCTGTTCTCTCGTTCTGTCATCTCTGTCTCTATCTATACCTCTCTCTCTTCTATCCTTTCCCTCCTCTCCTATCGTTTCTCTCCTATCTCTCTCATCTGTATCTATCTCCTCTCAGCTGTCTGTTCTCTCTCTCTCCGCTATCTACTTTTCTCCTCTCTCTCTCTCTCGCTCTCTCTCTCTCTCTCTCCTCATGTCTACTCTGTCTTATCTCTCGCTTTCGCTTGTCTCCCTCATCTCTCTCTTGTTCCTCCGTCTCTCCTCCCTGTCTCTCTCTCCTATCTGTCTCTCTCTCTGTCTCTCATACTATCTCATGTACGACTATCTACTCCTGTCCTCTCATCTTCGCTTCTTCTCATCTATCTGTCTCTCTCCTCCTAGCTCCATCTCTCTATATCTCTCTCTCTCTCTCCTCTCTCTCATCTCTCTCATCCGCTCTCATCTCTCCTCTCCCTCTCTCGCTGTCTCCTCTCTCTCTCTCTCTAATCCTCCTACTCTCTCTATCTCTCTCTCTTAGGTCTACTCTGTATCTATCTTCTCTCTCTCTCTTCTCTGCTTCGCTCCTCCCTCATCCTTCTCTCTCACATATATAATATGTATATATATATTCCTCCTCATATATGTATATAATCTCACACTATCTATATTGTATATAGTATATACAGATCCGTAGATAGCTATATATTTTAGATCCATCTAGATAGTATATATAGATATATATCCTTATCTATCTATATATAAAAAATATATATATATATCTATCTCTATACTATAATAATGTATATATCTATATATATCTAAATATATATCTATCTATAGATATACATATTATTGTGATATATAATATAGTATATATAATATACATACTATATGTCTTACTACTTTTATATATGTATATATTATACCTATCTCTCTATATACTATATATATACATCTTCTCTATGTATATATTTATAATATTAGTCGCTATCGATATATATATCTACATATCTATCTGTATATGTCATCTACTCTCTATATATCTTATATATCATCTATATATCTATCTACTATATTATAGCCATATATACAATCTATACGCTATATCTCCTCCCGCTATATCGCATCTCCGCTACTCTAATATCTCTCTGTTCATATCTTCTCTATCCAGCTATCTTTCTTATCTCATCTATCCCTCTGATCTATAATTCTTCCATCTGTATATATATATATTACAGATTATATCTATCCTTCTCGACATCTTCATAATATCTATCTATCATATGTATCCCCAGTATATCTAAATATATATATCTATCTAGCTCTCTATTACTCAATATTTCTATACTATATATACGATGTACGACACTATATCAATATAAGATACATACTCTATCGACAATACATAGATATATACATATATATACTACATATATATATATATGTTATATATAATGTATGTATATATCATCGTATAGTATATACTGTAGGTATCTTATGATAGAATGTATATATGTACTAATCATGGTTACAAATATTTTTTTTAAAATTATCTATATATATATATCTATATATAATATATATATTATATATAGAATAAGATATATATACATATAGATATAATATATACTATAATCATACCATATTATATACAGATATACCATATATATATATGGCTATATACATATATATAATACATATATACCCTTTAATACATATATATATACATATATATATCCCTTATATATAATACAGATAGACATATACATATATAGTATACTATATACATATATACAGTATCATATATACATATATATATATTACATATTACATATATATATATATACATATAGACATATTTATATATATATAGAAGCAGATTCTATATATATATTACATATTATATAGATTATATATATATATATATATATATATATATATATAATATCTATATATATATATATCTGTCCTAAATATATCTTCTATATCTTATCTCACACCTATATATCTATATATCATATCTCTATATATCTCTATTTTATAGTCTATATATCAATCTTCTCTATGTCATATATATATATCTAGATAGATCTCTATTTCTATAATATTTCGATCTCATCTCTATTCTAGGTACTCTCTATATCTCTCTCATCGAAACACGGACTAACGCGCAGATGTCCTCTCTAATATGTCCTATATCTAATTCTACTATATATATCCTATTCTGATATCTATATAGCATACACATACAATACATATATCGATACATATACATACATTATCTATACCTATAAATATACATATATACATATAAATATACATATATACATATAAATAAAAATATAATACATATAAGATATACAGATATCAGATAAATATACATCGATACATATAAATATCACATATATATGTTATATGTATATTCTATATAGATATATGACTATTTATATGTATATATTGGTTCTTTATATGTATATTGTATATTTCTATGTATATTGTATTTTACTGCTATTTATCTCCTATATGTCTGTCTGTCTGTTACTATCTATCTATATATACATCTATCTCTACTCTATATCTAATCTCTATCTTCTTCTCTAAATATATAATCCTCTCCGCTTATCTATATCTCTGTCGCTCTCTCTTCTCTCTCTCTCTCTTATTATCCTCTACTATCCTAGCCTCTCTCTATATCAGTCTGTTATCTTCTCTCTCTATTGATCCTCTCACTATATCTCTATCGACTCTCTCTCTATCTATACTACCCTCTCTACCTCCTATCTCTATATCTCTTCTCTCTACCTTATCCATATATCTCGCTCTCTCTATATCTATAATCTCTCACATCTCACCTATCATATCTACCTTCCTACTCTATCTCATCATTTCCGTATATATAATCACTATCTCCTATCTCTCTCTCCATTCTCATCTATCTCTATATATACTCGATGTTCAATCTCGTATAGATGTCTATATATTCTAAATCTTTCTCTCATCTCCATCCCTATACCTATATTTATCTCTCTGCATTCTAGCATACAACAGCAAGCAACTCCCCCTCCTCAGCAAAAACTAATTATCAGTTCAATTATTTCTAGTGCACTTATTTCTATCCAGTCACACTAACAGTACCCTATACCAACCTTTGCTAGGTACAATCCGATACCGCTCTCCGGGGGATTGACAACTGGTGTTCCGTCCTTCTTGCCTATAGGTTCCTCTCCCACATAATAATCGACATTAGCTGTGCGGAGCTCAAAGCAGTGTATCACTCCTCTGCTCACATCTGTTTGCAGAGGATGTGACTGGAGTCAATATGTGGTTATATTTTTTTTAGTTCTTAAAGTGTAAATTGCCTCAACTGAGCACATACAAGTTGCACCCTTAACAAAGCATCAGCTTTGCTGAACTGACAAGCTGTTTCCCTGCCTCTATTCTGCTGTAATTGGACAGAGTGTACCTTGTCAGTCTACTTCACTGGGCATCTAGGTAGCCTCTTCTCCCACCCAAGGCTCCCCCTAAACCCCTCCAACCCATCAAAGAGCTCCACTCGTCCTCCATCTGATGACCCATCTTCCTCCCCCAAGAGCATCCCCAAAGACCTCTCCCTTCACAGTCCCTTCCTACGCACTACATGTGGGATATAGATACATGGTTTATTGCATCGTATGCATTAAATTTCTATGCTTTAGAAACTGATTTATAGTTCAGTCACTATTTGAAACACCAGCAAAAGAAAAACATCTGGTGTGTATTCTTGAGGTCTTCAAATAATAAAGACCAAATCTCACCCTCATTAAAGTTGAAAGTTTGGTGTTAATTTTGTGTGGGATGGGGCGGAGGATGGGCTATAGAACTGCAGTCTTAGAACTTAAGAAACCATGATGGTAAGACAGCTAAGGGTATGGGAAATATATCATGGAGTTAATGAAGAGGATAAGGGTCTGGGAGTGCTAGTTCTAGGATTTTATTTGGTAACCACCATTATATATCCTCAAAAATGTGAGTAATGCTTCTTTAAGAAGTAACTCTAAGATAGATTCCACTTCTAATTAACTATACCACCAACTCTTTACAACCCACCACTTGCAATTATTGGAATCTTTATCTGTGTACCACTGGATTTCGGGGACTCACCATCAAATCTGGGTACCCTTAATGTGGGATCTAGATGTTTTTACAATTTTTTTTGGTTGGTATTATTAAAGAGATGTTATATCTTGAGTCTGGTTTCATTTGGCGAATAAATAATGGAAATAAAATATACATTTGTAATTTTTCTTGTTTGACCCACACCATATTGTTGGGCTAACTGCTCCCATAATGAACAATGAAAGTCAACAAAAAAACCTTCAGTGATATATTTCATCAATAACCTTGAAGTTGTACTGATAATTTTTTTTATTAGTTCCAATTTTTGAGTTTGAATTTTCAAGAAATAACAATATTATTAATATTATTATTATTATTAATATTATTAATATTATCAATATTATTTTTTAAAAAAGTATACTTTCTACCCTACAACATGCAACATATGTGAAGAAAATCATACAAATATTTTAAGTACCCCCCCCCCCATGCCAGTAATGAGACATGGCAGTTTAAACTACAGACTTCCATCACTGCCATGATCTAGGGAAGTATTGCCAAATCACTTTTTTTTAATATCTTTAAAAAGAGAGAGAGTAAAAAAATTAGTATTATATATATATATATATATATATATATATATATATATATATATATATATATATATATATATACACATATATATATATATATATATACACATATATATATATATATATATATATATATATATATATATATATATATATATATATATATATATATATATATATATATATATATATATACACATATATATATATATATATATATATATATATATATATATATATATATATATATATATATATATATATATATATATATATATATATATATATATTGCTAAAAACTACAGCTGATGGTCACCTTAAGCTGACAAGATAGGTCCCATGATTTCCTAATTCAAAAACATTATAAAATATAATTCTTTAACTAAAAATGGAGACAAAATAATAAAAATGATAAAACATAATTCTTTAACATAAATGGAGTCAAAACAATATCAATAAATGATACAATATTTCATAAAAAGTCTATGCCCTTCAATATCACATCTACCAAATCCATGACCCTAAAGACCTGTAGCCTACCTGCAGGCTGCGCCTGTTTTGCGGTTTCTATGTTGAGCACCTCCGAGAGCTGGATGTCCTTGTAGTACTTGGTGCTGGTCTCATTCTGGTACAGAGTTATGCTCTTGGTGTCTAGGCGCCAGTAGTGCCTCTTGCGCTGTCATGTCAAGTTGGTCTCACTTTAAATCTCTTATGCTCCCTAATTAACTTTAATGACCATAGCAGCCTTTTATTCTTCAGATTAAAAAGTTTTATTTGTACCTGTTCTAATCAGCCATTCATTACAGAACTGTCACTCTTACAAATAACATGTACTATTAATACGAAGAAGTTGTCAAGCACAACTTGTACATTTAAAGCATCATCCTTTCTTTACTTTTATTTTAAAATATGCACACTAAACTACAAGATCAACTCAAAAAGGAAAAGAGAGAGAGATAGGAAAGTCTACCTAAATCATGAGAATAATGCTGCTCATTACCCCAGGTAACCACAGTGCTTGTCTTACCATACTGTCTTTGTTGGTGAAATGGACCATCCAGCCCTCTTTGAGCACCTTTGACGGCCTTTTGGTGTGCTTGACCGACTGCACGATTCTCATCAGCGGAATGTTGTTACTTGATGATGGACTGGAATTTGAAATGCAATGCACAACTGGCCAGATGTACAGTCACTCTTTCCTGACACTCTTGATAACCAAACCTTAGACTACAAAAATAAGAACAAGCCATGGACAGGATCTGGCTTTGGAACTTTTGATTTATGCCATACTCAAAAGCTCAATTGAGATATAGAAATTGGCAAATTCTATATATAAAATTCAGATGACAGCTTGATCACAGCTGAAAAATTTCTACAAAGTCCCTGGCCTTCATATGAGCACAAGGCCTCACCTGTCTGGCCCTCGTCCGACCACCGGCTCATCATCCACCACATCTCCGTCCGGAGGAGAGTCTGTGTCACTCTCTTCATCCGCAGGAACATCAGAGCCCGTGTCACCATCCTCGCCTGAAACGCCATCTGTGTGAGACAGGAAAGATATTTGGTACCTTTGTTGATGGATGGGAAAGAGAGGGAGAGAGGGAGAGAGGGAGAGAGGGGGAGAGGGAGAGAGGGGGAGAGAGAGAGGGGGGGGGGAGAGAGAGAGAGAGAGAGAGAGAGAGAGAGAGAGAGAGAGAGAGAGAGAGAGAGAGAGAGAGAGAGAGAGAGAGAGAGAGAGAGAGAGAGAGAGAGCGAGAGCTCTAGTGGCATTATTCATTGATAATAATCAATGAATAATGAGTCAATATGAGAGGTTGAAAGAGGTATCCTCATGTGCATCATTGTATATGCTGCCTAGCTACCCTAGTTTCAAACCTGGTGGGAAAACAAATATAAATCTTATTCATGACAAATCTCCCCTGATATGATACCTAAAGTTTGGAACTGATTCTGCATTTTGAAATACAATTACAACATATGTGCTGTGTTTCCTCCATTGTTGTCTGTTTGATTATTATACTGACTAGAGACTGAAATTTCTTTTTCATTCCTTTGGTTCTCCTAGGGACATTTTTCATTTGTACACGATACCAAAGTGTTAAATATGCATCAAATAAAATATATCATATAGGAAGTTAGCCATAATTATTGTATATTATGCTTGCTGGAGGAAAAAAATATTGTTCTGAGTGTTGTCAGTCTACAGCCTTGCCATTATTTTATGCCTCCAATATTTATGACACTATTTTCTCTGGCATAAATTGTGATGCCTTTCTGCTTCCAATCAGCCTGATCAGTTTTCCCTCAGTGATTTGGGCATACTGGATGCCTTTTTTTCTTTCTTTTTTTTTTAAGTACAGCTTTGACACTGGTCAATAAGGAACATATATAATAAATACTAAATAGATGAAAAAATCATACAAACTTTACCTTTCTTCGGCGCTTCCCCTGTGCAGTCTTTGGGAACTCGCTCTGAACACTTCTTGTGTGCATTGAACTTGCAGTCCTTACACTGCACACCTTGCCTGAACAACCCTGAGGAAAGGAATGTTTAATTTCATACATGTCTTAAAGCAACAACTATGACTCATTTCTGTCATCCTGATTATAGAATTATCAACAGAGAAAAGAATCTTAAAATTGATATGGTTTGTTAACCTAATGCTGATGGGCATGACGTGTACATACCTGCTATGCCCACTGTGAGTTATGTGTTTGATTGTTTTTACACATAGATGGCTACACTTGTACAAACTCACCAATGAGCCAATTATGAGTACTGCCTGTCTCGCCCGTTTTCCCTTTTCTTTGATTTCAAAATATTTTACGTTATCTTATTTTGCTGTTACTAATGTTTATAACATCATAGTAATTATAATGTTTATAATAAAAATAATACCATCGATATTCATAGCACTAGTAAAAAATACATTTTTCCAGCCAATTCAAATAAGGTAAGGTCACAAGGTCTACCAATTGGCTCCTTTGTGGCTAAGCACTAGCAGAGCCATCGATGTGCAGAGACATTTCACAAAAAACATAGAAAATGAGCACAGCATTTTCTCCATATTCTATTCATTTTCCCTGGTGGGAAGGGACAGTTAACATAGACCAGGGGTTCTTAACCTGGGGTCCATGAAGAGTAGATAAAAATTAACATCTACATTAGTGTTTTTTTTTTTTAGATTGTTTACTTTCGAGTTTATTAATACTTTGTGTACCTTATATACATGAGATAATCAAATCTCAGTGAATAAAGTACATTATACACATTGCATGCAAAGTTGTGTTTATATGAATATTTCTGGGGAGGGGGGCCACAGATTTCATCAGATTCTTTAAGGGGTTTGTGACTTTAAAAAGGTTAAGAATCAGTGACAGAGACAATAAGGGATATGTATTAATAGAAATGAAAATTGTATAAAAGACAGGCACTTCTTCAAATTAATTCCAATATG